AACATCGTTTGTTATGATAATTTAAAATTTGTTCTTGTACTGTACATGTATGTGAACACCTTTTTGAAATTTTCTACATCACATTGGGCTTGCGTCACCCTACCAGTACTAGTACTAGTTTTACCATTATCATTTTTAGATTGCACATGCCATGTGACATGGTGCAGTGTTACATGTATATCAGTGGAAATTAATTCATTTTGTGTTTTAATTGGATTATATTTCATGAAGTTGACAGGACCTATGACAGTCGGTAAGTACAAGTTTAAGTATAGATTGGGGTAAAATAAACCAAAATGCAAATGGTTAGGTTAAAGTTTAAAAAGGATCAAAGATCATCGGCAATCTCCTATGCAGAGTTGTCGTTCGTTTCTCTCTCAGACACTGAATGTATGAGCCGATCGTAGAGAGTGGATCATCGATGCCACAATAGACGAATTTCACATTCTGAAGAGTTATCTCCCGTTGTCGACATTACATTCAGTTACAGGCATAGATCCGGGAATTTTTTTCCGGGGGGGGGGGGGGGAGGGGGGTCCACACCTCGGTCCAAAAAAATTCCAGCCCAGAATTTCCTGAGGAGCAAAATAAAAAAAAAAAAACAAACAAACAAACAAAATAAAAACAATGATGGTGGGGTCCATGTTTTTAAAGGGGGAGGGCATCCAAAGTCATTTTTTATTTGCTTCTGTAAATCAGTATATAGTCCTATTTAAATAACTCTACAAATTCCAGGGGGGGGGGGGGGTTCCAATCTCCCTAGCCGCTCCCTGTCCCTGAAATGACAAATGATCATGCGACTCCTAAATAGTAGAAAATTTTTCCATTTGACTAGACATAATTTTGTTTCTTGTGTTATTATGTTATGTACATCTAATGGTTTAAGGTTATGAACCCTTGAGGTCATCCCCACTCTCTTGTTCATAATATGACTACATCAAATTAAATAGAAGTGCATCAATGATAAGATTACTTGACATTTCATTCATGAATTTGGGTCAACCTAGAATTAGGAATGAAAATCATTCAAAGAGATGGACCATTAAACTATTTGTATGTATTCACATTTTTTTTATGTCAAACCAAAGTATTAGACTAGTTTGCATACATGAACAAACTGGGGTCTGGGAAGGGGAAGGGGCAAGGGGAAGGAGTTATCTCTTTACGTCTTAATTAATTGTTGAAAATTCCTAAAATGAATGTTAACCTTAAATCCGACTTGTACGTCTTCATTATTTTTAAGTGGTGGTGTCTCCGTATGAGTGAAAAATTCCCAAGAGGGACATTTAACAACAAACAAACATTAATGACTTAAAAAACACAATATACATGTACATGTTTATTAGTCAATGGATATACTTCTGATCATATCTCTAGTTCTCCCTTGAATCAGAAATGATGATATAAATATTTTAAGAATGATTAAGAGTTGAAAAGGTTGTGCATTTTAAAATTCACTAAGCTCTGTGGTTGAATTAGCTATACCAGTTTAGCTTATTTTGCTACTCAAAGCACCTTGATTAACTATTTTTAATCATACTGTTTTCTGAAATGTGAAGTTTTTTCAACATGGATACAAGTCATACCTTTTCAGCTTCTGAAAACAATTAATGCATGAAAAAAAAAACTGCTTTTCAAATACTGTAACTCTTTCCAAGTACTTGTGATCATCAGTTTTTAGCTCACTTGAGTTTTTCTGGTTTTCTGATCACATTTTGTTTGTCATTCATCTGTCCGCCTGTAAACTTTTCACATTTTTGTCTTCTTCACTAGAACCGCCGGGCCAATTTCAACCAACCCAGCCACAAAGCATCTTTGGGTAAAGGGGATTCAAGTTTGTTCAAGTGAAGGGTCACACCCTCTTTCAAGGGGGGATAATCAAGAATTAGTGAAAATTTGGTGGTATCATTTTAAAAAAGTCTTATCAAGAACCTCTGACTGGGCCCAAAAAGTTGAAACTTTCTTTACATAGACAGTGTAGCTTCAAATTTGTTAAAATTATGACCCACTGAGGTAGGATGGGGCCACATATGGAGATCCAATGATTTACATAGAAAAATGCAGGGGATTTTTTCCATCATAAATCTTCTTCTCATGAATAGCAAGGGCATTATTGTCGTCCGTTTTCACAAAAGGGACCTAGGGGACATTAAATCTCATTTGTCTGTCAGTCTGTCCGTTTGTCAGTCTGTCCGTCTGTCACAATAAATTTAACCTTGGTCATAACTTCTGAATAATAAGAGATAGGGCTTTCATATTTCACATGTACATTACCTACAAGAACTTTCTAAACATACCATGATTTTTGAACCCATGACCTTGACCTTGAAGTTTGACCTACTTTTCAAAAAATTTAACATTATTTCAAATGATCATTTTGAAAGAGAAAAGATAGGGCGTTCATATTATACATGTATATTACCTGTGACAAGACCTTTCTAAATATATCATGACTTTTGACTCTGTGACATTGACCTTGAAGTTTAACCTACTTTTCAAA